TTAACAACTATTTTGCTTTCCTGTCCGGTAAGCAGTTTAGCGAATGGCTATGAGGGAGAACGCAGGTCGGCGCGATTCCCAGGGCAAGTCTGAAGAGTTCTTCCTTCACGTGGTTTCCGCCTGTTATTTGGTCTGGTTCACTAGGAAACAAACAAAACAGAAACACTCAGACGACCCTCTTTTTCTTTTCCTTTTATCCTACCCCCTTTTCCTATCCTAATCCAATCCAAGGTATTTAGCGTGCCGAGCTGATAGATGCGTGGTTGGTAGTCCTGTTAAAAACGGTGCCTATCCAAGAACAGGGTGATTTGGGTAGTATTTTAGCCCTTCCCTCGACTGCGGGGCTCTGCCGGGCGTAACCGAATATTTTCCTAGCTAATCGTTGGACCAAAATGAATGAAGATCGATATTTTGAAAAAATTGAACTATCTGAAGGTCTGGAAAAGGCTCTTCTAACCTCACAAATACCCAGCAACACAACGTCCCAGCCTCGTATACAGCCGCACCACAATCGGAAACCAAGCAGGGAAGGGACAAGGAAAAGTTCGCTAGGCCTTACAAGCTTAGTGTGACAGCACGTAAGTGGTACAGGAGGACGATATCAGCTGAGATAAGAGCCAAAGAGGTCCTCTCTCTCTGGCAGAAGCCCTGGGACGAAATTCCTTTGCCCAAATCTCTCCTGGTTCACAAGACGAAAAAGCGCAGGTGGTCTGAAGAGGAGTTTCCAAAAGAGCGGTCCACTAAAGCTGGCAACGGGGAAGAGGAAGCTCAGATAAAGAAGTGCATGTAGGAATTTGAAATTTGAATCCTATGAGCGTGCAGCAGATGCTCGTCTACCGGACACTAACACAGGCTATCGCTAAGACAGCCTCTGGGACGCAGCCAGAAGTGATATAGATATTTTCGGGTTTCGCCCATAAGCCAGGTTGGATTCTGGTAACGTGCCTGAATAAGGCAAGCCAGAACTGGATTGTAGGTGAAGTCGGGAGACTGAAACCCTGGTCGGAGGCAGAGCTCTCAATAATAACTGAGGTCGAACTGCTTAAGACTCATCCGGGTATCACGTGTCTGTCCTGCAGTGAAGCTGACTCTCTAGAATTGGTGGCTGTACTGTTGAGGTCACAAAATGAAGGGCTCCTTACTGAGCTCTGGAAAATTCTCAACCGTAGGGACGAGGAGAATGGGTTCCTAGTAACCTTTTCTCTGTACGATGAAACGTCGGCAGTTAGAATGACTGAAACCCAAGGCGCTGATCTAGTCCTGGGTCGAAGTCCTCCGCTGGTGTCAGCTAGGTATAAGAGGAAGGGAGTTGGAAGCGGCAGAGGAAAATGTGTGGTGATGGTCAAGAACGCCATTAAAGGACGTCTTAGCCCTCAGCAGGCAAAAACGAGCTCTGTCAAACGAAATCTCCCCACGCCAATAAATGGCTAACTCCAAGGGTAGGACGAGGGTTCTTCAGGCAAATCTTCAAGTGGAGGGTTGCGTTGCAGAGGACAACATCGTCGATCGGACTCACTACCGGAACATTTCCGAAATCACGTGTTTTGAAATAAGTATGCAGAATACTAGGAAAATGAATGTTTTTAAGGCCAAACCTGGTGCAGTGGGCTGTTGACTCCTTTAAACCATTTAAAACAAGCGGGGAGTATGGAATAATTCCCAACCAACTACAGAGGGGTATTGATATCCTTCTTCCATATCTGGTGAAAACCATGAGAGCAAGTTTTGCATGGGGATTCCAGAACGGTGGACAATCGTCAAAGTTCTATTTATACCTTAGGCTAGTAGAAAATACTACGCTTTACCAAAGTTCTTTATACCTATAAGCCTATCTTCCTTCCTTCTCAAGACATTGATAAAGGTTATAGAAATATATATTAGGGATGTAGCTCTAACTACGAGGCCCATACATACCTCTGCTTACCATAGAGGCAAATCTACGGAAACAGCCCTGATCAGTGTTATTGACAAGGTCTAAAAAGCGCTGGAGGGTAAATAAATAGCTATTTGTGTCTTTTTAGATATTGAGGGCGCCTTAAAAAGAAGCCCCACATCACTGCTGATAGGAGTCTGATATCTAAAAATGTTGAACCCACAATCATCAGGTGGGTGAAGTCGATGCTCTCAAACAGAAAGGCAAAATGGCAATGTTTCAAACTTCGAATGAGGTTGCAACTTCAAGAGGCTGCCCACGAGGATGTGTTTTACCACCCCTTTCCTTTTTGGGCTCTTGCGGTTGACCAATTATTGCATAAGATGGCAGACCTTTGCATTGACACACTGGGTTGTGTTGATGATCTTGTGTTTATTGCGAGAGGTTTTTGCCAAAGTACTCTATTATTAATCATACAAAGAGCCCTAAACACCATAAATAACTGGTGTAGAGTTAACATTGTGTCAGTTAATGTTTTTAAAACTTTTTACCAAAAAGAGACGATTGGACAAATTAGTCACACCAAAACTTAGTGGTAAAGAAGTACCATTCTCTACTGATGTTAAGTATTTGGACGTAACAATCGACCAAAAACTAACGTGGAACTCTCATCTTAGCAACGTGTATCATTGGGATAAAATTGTTTTAGATACGTGCATGTGCATGTTTGGGAACAACTGGGGCTTGCGTATCAGTATGATCCTATGGATGAAACAGTATAGTGAGACCGATTGTTTCTTACGCCTCCATTGTTTGTTGAAATAAGACCAACCAAAAGATGACTGCGGACATACTAAATAGTCGTAATAGTAGTAGATTAACGCCCAGAATGGCCTGAGCTTGCTTTTTTTATAGATTGAGATCCATGCTCGACTCAATTAAAGAAACACTGGTCTTATGCAAAATCTCAGATATAATGCGTCTACTATACACTTTTAGTAAAAAGTATGTAGTGGATCGACCTTTCAGAGAAGACTGGCTGAATGGACAAGTTATTTGTGCGATCGGTAGCTTTATATGGTATACCGATGGATTAAAAATGGGCCTCGACGTAAGCTATAGAGCTTGTGGGGTAAATTCCAAACTTCACCCCATCCCTAAAAAAGGCAACTGCTCTATCCCGTACAACTACTGTCCAAAATAACGGAGTCTATTATAAACTGGCAGCTTGTGAGGTACCTTGAGGATCACCAGATATTAGTGAATACAGTTTCTATCATGGCCGATCATCCAGTGATTTCAGGGTCTACCTGACTCATAGATGGGTGGAGGTAGTAGAGTCCATGGGGGAAGCGGTGACCATAAGTTTGGGCATAGCAAAGTTCTTCGATCGGGTCAGGCACAAAGCGCTTCTTCGGAAGCTTCCTTCCTATGGGCTTCCCTAAAAATAGTCCAATTGAATCACCAGTTTCCTTGCTGATCGGAGCATCAAGGTCGCAGTAGACGGTGCATGCTCTGATTACAAGCGCATTAACGCTGGTGTTCCACAAGGATGCATACTATCACCAACGTTTCTTCTGCATATCATTGGTATGTTGCAAACCGGTAACCTAAACCAGTTAACAGCACTGGAGTTGTCTTATACACCGACCGTGTCAATATTTCACGGAAAAACGTCGCCAAGTACCGGGACAAACTTGTGTCTGAAGTCGAGTCTTTGCGGAACAAAGTCTCGGATTGGGAGCGACTAAATCTAATCCAGTTTGATCCAAGATACAAGTTTGCGCGTTTACTGCTAAAACGAACCCCTTTATCGTATCTCCTCAGTTTCAAGGCACTCTCCTTGCTGCCTCAGCTAACATCGGAATCCTTGGCGTCGACATATCGGATAGTGTTTAGTTTCACGGTCACTTGAAAGGGAAGACCAAATTGGCCTCTAAGAAGTTTGGCGTGCTTAGCAAAGCGAGACAGTATTCCATGCCGACACATCGCTTGCAATTTTACGAAGCGCAAGTTCAGCATCACATGGAATACTGTTCTCATCTCTGGGCCGGGGCACCCCAGCGCCAGCTCCTTTCACTCAACCGCATCTAGCGCAGAGCGGTTCGAATCGTCGACGACCGAGTTCTTTCTGATCGGCTCGATTTACTTTGCATTTTCTATGGCATCTACCATGGGGAGCGCTCTGAGGAATGGTTCGGATTAATTCCAGCCGCTAAATTTCACGAACGCAGATTGCGTCAAAATTCGCTTCAGAAGCCCTGGGATTAGGTAAAAATAAGCTGCGCATTATGGCAAGAGCCCTGACTGGATACCGTGGTCTTAAAAAGCACATGTCCATCCTTAGACTAGGCAACTCAAGGATGTGTCGGTTTAGTTTCTTAAAGGAAGAATCGCCTTTGCACATCCTAACTGATTGTGGACCCTTAATGCGCAAACGTAACATTCATCTGGGAAACTCTGTACTTCGCCCAGAAGAAGTGAAATTGCTGACATCTAAGCAACTCCTTCTATTCTTTGAAGACATAGGACTTAGCAGTAAACTATAGCCATAGTAGTGATCATAATAGGTCTTTTAGGTCTTTCTAAACCTTCATAGCCGACAGCACAAAATGAAAAATGCATGTTGTTTATTTTTATATTGGTTATAATATCTTTTCGGAAATCAGATTATTGGTGAGATTAAAAGTCGTCAAAAGAGTATGCGAGATGATAAACAAGAACTCTCGAATATAACAAGCAGATACATCCAGAAGGCAAATTGGTTTGTAGTTAGAATTGAAACACTTTTTCCACGGACACTTTTTTCAACTTCTTCTCTAAACGCTTAATATATAATATATAAAACGTGTAGGCAAGTTAATATTATTATTTTCAAAATAATTTTATATTTTATATAAATTAAAAATTAAAATAGTCAGGTAAATCTGTCATATTATTACCTTTGTGTAAAACATCGTTGTATGTTACATACAATTTTTTAAGGAAACAAGTATTATTTATTAAATTAACATTTACTTAAGAAGTCAAATATTTTACTACGCATCAGAAGTTTGAATTATTTATTTTTTATGTTTAAATAAAATTTTATAAGTAGTAAAACTAGGTTCCGTGTGTGTTGCGTTACCTGGTTGGTTCCATACAGTGGCGACGTCTATCTTGAAGACGCCGAGTACTTTGTTAGCACGCAGAATGTTGCGCGATTGTAGCACCTGCGAACAGGGATCATGTTGTATGAAAAAGTACTCGTTGCCCGTTACCTCACCTGAGACACTTTAACAGTACTTAAGTGGCACCGATTTTTCGATGTTACGTGGCTGCCAGCCTTGATGAAAGTATTCGATGTCCTATGATATATGTATAACTAAAAGTAATTACCTTAGAATGAGTGTTAAAATTCGATTTTGAATTTTCACTTATTCTCACTTATTTTGAAAGCTGACTTGTAAAATTGCAGAAAATAAAATCATTATATATCATCAAATTAAGAAAAAGGCTGAAAATAAACAATGAGTGTTAAAATTCGATTTTGAATTCACACTAATTCTCACTTATTTTGAAAGCTGACTTGTAAAATTGGAGAAAATAAAATCATTATATATCAGCAAATTAAGGAAAAGTCTGAACATAAACAATTGTGACGAATGAATAATAAGTAGGAATAAGTAATGATTGGGAAATAAACAATCTAGCGATGCGAGAATTGTATTGTTGAAAGATTATTTAACGCGAAATATATTAAATAATTGTTCAAAAAATGTTATTTTTATGATTTATTTAGGAGTTAAAAATGTGGGATAAGTGTGACTTTAAACTTTTTACTTTCTGCATTTGTTTATTATTGATAAACTGAAATTGAATTAAATCAAATGGGATATCTTTATTTTCTCGTACGTAGAAGTTAAAATTTCGTTTGTTAAATTACATGTTTTCGTTTTTTCTTTCTTTCAATAGAACAAGGGTTGCAAACGAGCACACAGGCACATGTACATCTCTCTCTATATTTTTATCCTCGATAAAATGCAGATGCGTTGTCACACCTGAAGAATAAGATGGAATGCCTCCAACACATAGGATTTTCAGCTCTCTACACTCACCATACGTAATACAGCAACATTAAGCTGCTATTTTACGCTGGTATTTTTTAAGAGCATAGTTCTTCTTCAGTCGTGTCGACCCATTCGTACTACAACCAAATTATAGCGGTACCGTAGCTTTATCATGTAGTCCTACCATATAACTTTTTTTTAATTTATTTTATGTACACACATCGAGGTACAGAAGCAGTCTTATAGTAATTTCGTACAAAGGTTCTACTTATTCCATAATTTGCTGAAATATCTTCCAGTAGACCCATAAAGGAAATTATATTGAAATTGCAAACTTAGTGCATACATTAGTACTTCTAAAAAATAAATAATATACAAAATGTCACGTAAATTATATAAAATAAAACAATAAATAAAAATAAAATAAATAAATACATAATAATAATAAACACGATAGTTACATATGATATATATAAACTAAAACTAATATAAGAGAATAATATATATTAATTAACAGGATGCAAAGTAGTTATTTCTAAGACGTTTCTTAAATTCCAATAGTTTCGGAATTTCTTATATTTGACGGTAGTGAGTACCATAACCTTACCGCGTGAACTGAAAAGGAGTTGGAGTAAAAACCGGAATTATAAACGGGAAAATCAAGAAGAGTTTTAACAAGGGATCTGAATGGTTTTTCCGGAGGATGGGTGAAGGAAAATCGGCTTCTGAGGTATAGTGGGAGAGGAAGAGTTGTGCAAAATGTTATAGAGGAGACATAACAATCGAGTGTTCCTTCGAAGTCGAATTGGGAGCCACTTGAGTTGCTTACGAAACTGAGATATACGGTCAAATTTCTTGAGCCCAAATATAAAACGGATACACTGATTTTGCAAGCGCTCAAGTTTATTAAGAAGCTCCTCTGTAGCATCCAAATAACAGGCATCCGCATAATCAAGGAGAGGTAGGATAAGAGTAAGCACGACTGATATTTTAACTTTAAGGGGTAAGAAATTTTGTTGACTTTAGTTTGCATTTAAGCGAATGCAAAGTAAAGTAGACCTTACGACTAACCTCAGCGATATGCGTGGTACCATGTTAAATGGTGATCAAATATGACGCCTAAGTTTTTGACAGTATTGGCAAAGGTATAGGAACTCCATTAAAACAAACAAGAGGTAGTGATGTTAATTCTAATCTATTACGCAAATGCCTGCTGCCTATTATGATGGCCTGAGATTTCGTGGGATTAATTAATAGTCCGAAGGATGCACACCATTCATAGATGCGGTTCAGATCCGCATTCATGGCTGCAAATTTAAAAAAAAAATCTTTTTTTTAAATTAAATTGACGAGGGGGCTAATGAGCATGCGGCTCACCTGAAGGTAAGTGTTGACTGCCGCCCATAAACAATTGCAACACCAGGTGCTAGAGCCAGCCTTTTAAAAAGCATTTTCCATTTTTATTTGTTATTATAAAGACGCCGCTGCCCGTCTCTAGGTTTGTTTCCATATGACGCCTCTTACGACATTCACGTTAAAATCAGTTTTGACCGAGGCCCTTAGTAAAAACAGTTTTGACTAATGTTTTAATCAAAAATGGTTTTGCCTGATTAAAACTCAGTGACAGTAAGTTAACGTAAGTCTAGGGTTTCAGTCTGTAAGTAAATATCAGACCAAGATATATTCATAAGTCATTCCCTAAATTTCCGTATGTTCTCAGCGCAATAGTCTTTTTTGTAAATAAAATATGCCGTGGTCTTTAAGCTTTTTCTTTTTATGGGAATTTCCAGTAGTTGTGCTGTTTCATGGTCAGACAGGTATAGAGGTAGAATGGTAGCCGTTGCGTCTGTGATGTTGCTTAAAATATGGTCTATACAAGAGTTTTTCCGGGTCGGTACCTTGATGTGAATGCTTAGATTGTAGTTGTTACATACATAGATCTTGAAAAAAATTAGTAATATTTCCCTGTTTTAAGGTGTTAATATTAAAGTCACCAGTTACAACTAGCTTAATGTTTGGCTTAAGACTGCTAAGAAAGTCATATAAAAGTTTGTCCAGCTTATCTAAGAAAATAGTAGGGTTTGACGAGGGAGTTCTTTAAATACATATTATAATCAATCTGTGTACAGGAATTTCAATTCCACAAGTTTCAAATGTATTTGGTGTTGCATAATATTGTAATTTATTAATTTTTTTGTATGTTATATTGCGCTGTACCAAAATACAAGTTCCGTCTCTCTTGTTTCTCTCTACAAAATGCAGTTGCTAATTCGTAACCTTTTATTTGTAAGTATTTATCTTAACCATCTCGCAAAAACGTTTCAGACGTTAAACTAAGGATTAAAATGGGTAGGATTAATACCTTACGGCATTCTCTGTCAGTAAACCCTTGGAAAATAGAGAAATAAAAGTAAACAGGTGTTAAAAGAAAACTTTAAAAATAACTAAAACATTTTATGCATATTATATTTATACTTATATTTATACATTATTTATTTTATTCATATATTAAATAAGTATATATAAACCGTAACATAATAGAAATAGGGGTCGTTTATTAAATTTTTATTTGTTATAATCAGATTATTGGCCTACATATTGTTAAAGCGTGAAGTGTTCACAGACATTGACAAGACAAAAGAGAGGTAGATTTCACGTAATCAGAAGCACATATTGATCCTTCAGAATCAGAAAAGGTAGCAGGGTGTTTTAACGAAATTTGCGTTGATGAATAGGCAATCAGTTAAGATAAATACGAAATTAAAGTAATAACATCGAAGGTCTCATTTACAAAAAAAAAAACATAAATATTTCTGATACAGTTGTTAAGGAGACGACTCAATGGGTAATGATGTTGAGACAAGCTGAACAATATACATCGACATAATCAATAACCGACGGAATAAAAGGCTGAAAAAGTAGGAAATTTTATTGGTACTAAGAGTTTTTTTAGGCGGAGACAGCTAACTTTTAAAAGTTTTGCGACTCACCGCCTCACCGGGAAGGGAATTTTATAGCAGAATATATGTACACTATATTTAAATAAATAAGACTACTGAGAGAAATTAAGAAGGGTTTACTTTAATACTATACGCAGCGGACCATTCAGAAATGTATTGCAAGGCGTCGTTAAACATTGAAATGCATGAGAACCTTTGATAGTTACATTCGTTTGGTCAAAAATAGAGAAAAAATTAACTTTAGTTCAGGCTTTGTTAATTTTTAATTTAAATTAGTTAGTCTCGACCTTGTGCCATAGAGGCAAACGTGATTTTTTCGAACAATTTTTAATAAAAAAATAAATAATTAAATTTAATAACCTTTATTTCGGATTTATCGTCTATGGAGAGGTTATTAACATAAAAAAACTTATACATATGTTTTAAAATATTGTTTTAAAAAAATTAAAATAAATTTATAGATAATCTTAAAACTCGAATAAATAATGCACAGAAATAACCGAGGTACAATGTTTGAGTATGGTACAGCCATCCACAGTTTTTTGGTTTACAGCCATTCCTAAAGCCTAAGCGCGCATTATGAAGTCGGTCGAAGAACGGCGAGTTGCTGTGCTCACGTTATGACTATTATTTGGTATTTAAAATAGGCCAAAAATAATGTTAAACCGCCTGCCAATTTTAGACAGTTTATTAAGACTTTATGACCCTGAATAAAGTCAAATTAAAAACTAAATACTAATAGCTTTATTTTAACCTATACACAACCCTAATACAACAAAAAAACTATAATGTGTAAATACTATAGGAAAATAATATATTAAAGAAAAGAATACGCTTAGTACAAAGATTTTACTCGGCAAGTTTCAAATTTTCACATGCCAGTGAAAGCATATACTAGCATCTTGATACAACTATATTATGATAATTGCTTTCCTATAGATATGTAGTTTTTATAATACAGGTCTTTTATAAATACAGAATTTGTTCACGCTTAGCCTTAGCCAGATCACCCTAACAAACTGAGCAATTTACTTTCGTACTCGCTTCTCTGTGAGCATCGGCGACGTATTTATTCCACTCCGAGACATAACCAACCACGCTTTCTGAAATATTTGCGCTGGTAAGATAATTCTGATGCTATTAATTAAATATATTATTTAATAATTAATAAATTTGACATATACATTTGCTCAATTTCTTTTA